AGGTCATAGATGATGCATTGACAGAGATCTGAGGTTGCAGCCCTGGACAACTATCGTCTGGGTGTGGGTGAAATACACACAAAACTGGAAATGTTAATTTTCCAGTCACCTGGAAGGATGGGAAGACCACTTTTCCATTCAAAACTGGCCAGTGGAATGGCGGTTCTTAAAGTTTCTGAAAGATCTCCCTTACAGACACAGAGTTGACTCATGGAGACTCTACTTGAGGTAGATTGGCGGGGCTAATCCATGACCCTGCAGATATCACTGCCTTCCAGTTCTCAGCATCTCTGCCCATGCTGGCTGGCTGGCACTTCTGGGTGTTAGGAGTCCCCCAGCATCTGGAGGCAGGGCTGGCTCAAAACATTTCACTGCCTGAGATTAAGAAGAAGAAGAGATTGGATTTGATATCCCGCTTTATCACTACCCTAAGGAGTCTCAAAGCGGCTAACATTCTCCTTTCCCTTCCTCCCCCACAACAAACACTCTGTGAGGTGAGTGAGGCTGAGAGACTTCAGAGAAGTGTGACTAGCCCAAGGTCACCCAGCAGCTGCATGTGGAGGAGCGGAGACGCGAACCCGGTTCCCCAGATTACGAGACTACCGCTCTTAACCACTACACCACACTGGCTAGATGGTGCTCCCTTTCCCATTATGCATACAGAACTGATTATAGACTGCCTGAGGCAGCTGTCTCACATTGCCTAATGGTAGGACTGGCCCTGTCTGAAGGGCCACAGGTTTCCCATCCCTGATGCAGATTCTCTCAGAAAACTGTATGCTGAGAATGTTTACTGATCACTTCTAAGATAACATCCTTCACATCTGTTCTGACTGAGTTGTCACTCTGAATATAGTATAGCCGTCAAGCATTCCCAGGTAGCTGCTATTGCTTGGATGAGTTTATGTTACTGCAGCTTGAGGATATAGGCATGAATCTAGTGGTACCCGAACATTATGCTGCTGCTAAAGGCAACAAGCCTTTTCCATTTTTTTTAAAGCTGCTAAATTCAGACAAAAAAATACTTTGTTTTTTCAATATATATTGGACCCATGATGAATAAATAAAATTGATAAATAAAACACAATAAAACCAGGCATCATTTAAGATAATAAAAACTGCAGCCAACAATAGGATACTAAAATATCATCAGCACCAAGATTATCTTTCTCTTTTGCTGGATGATTTTTTTTTTAAGATTAAAGTAAAACAGTGCCAGATTTATATGGGGATATATCTTTATATCTCCATAGGAACTTTTATTTTTAGTGAAAGCTGGGCATTTAAGGGAGGAAACTTGAATCACCTCAATGGCCAGGTCCCCAAAAACCTCCCATGGCTACAACCCGGCTTGAAAGATGGGGATTTGAAGAAGAGGGAGCAGATGAGCAGTAAATGGAAGGGGTGTGTGGAAAGGCCTGTAGGAGATTGTTTCAACACCATTTCTCTCGCTTACTTAGTAACAGTGGGTGACAGGAACAACTGAAATGTTTCACGATAAAACAGCCACATTTGCTAATGAGCAAACTCCCACAGTGTGTGTGGCAGGCGGGATCCTTCCTTCCATCTCCCCCCCCCCCTTTGTCAATTAAAGCTTACTTGTATTGTATTACTCTAATGTTCCCAAGCCCTGATTTGATTGAACTGGCTAACTGGATATCCTAGGATTTATTGTGTTTCCTGCCTGTTGTAATAAGCTTTGCTTGGGCTGACGCATTCAGAGCAGAGCAGAGCAGGCTGGATGTAGGAAGAGAGAAGCATACTGGTTCTTGCTTTTGTGGGAGGCCATTGTCTGAACAATACTAAACTGGAGGACTGCTATGATCATGTGACTTTGAGCAGCTTCTGTTTAGTATGTGTCATCATCTAGCAGGCAAAGCCTGCAGCTTTACGGATTATCACTGCGGCCATTCCTACCATTAGGCAGAGTGAGGTGACTGCCTTAGGCAGCAATGCTGCATGTGCCAGGTTCAAGGTTCTTTTGCTAGTGCACAAACCCCTGAACAATGCAGGTCCGGAATAGCTTATGATGTGTCTTACTCTATAATAGTTAAGAAACCTTTTCAGCATTTGCCATTTCAAAGAAGTGTTCTTTGAAATATAGCAGGATACGGGTATGATAGATGATGTTTTAGGATCCTATTGTCCATTGCAGTCTTTATTATCTTAGTTGTGCCTGGTTTTATTGAACCATAATTCATCATAGACTCAGTATATAGAGGAAGAAGATGGCATCACATTTCTCTAAAAATGGAACAGGCTGAATGGTGCCAAATTTAGACTGATTAATGCTAAGGCCAGGGATGCTTGTGTGTGCACAGTGCAGTATTTGGGTCTCAGGTGCCTTCCTGCAGGCCTGTTGGGAATCCCACAGGAGCTGTGTGTTTACTCTCTATATTATTTGGGAGAAGGGCGCTTCCAGATGTAGACAATTTACAAGCATGCTTTTAGAAATTGAATAGCTATTCTCCTTCCAACCCCAGAAGTTGGGGGACAATTTTCCTTGAGACCATTGGGTGTAGCGAGATGTTTAAATGCTCCCTCTAAGCTTTGTAGGACTCCCACTCCTGCCTACTTTCCGCTGCAATGGGAAGGGAGGAGGAGAGAAAATGAATTAGAAAGGGAAGTGATAAACCAATAGAGTTGGTTTCATAGTAAGTGCCCATGGTGGGAGCAGCCTGGGACTCTTATGTTCAGGATAATTTGGTGTCACTGTTAGTGTTCTGCATGTTGTCTGACCATATCGCCAGGCTGGCCAGCAAGAAGCCCTCTGTTTCTGGGCAATGTGGAGGCATATTCCTGCTCTATCAGACCACACCCGGAGTATTGTGTCCAGTTCTGGGCATTACAATTTAAGAAGAATATTTTCAGCCTGGACCATGTGCAGAGGACAACAACCAAGATAATCAAGGGTCTGGAGACCAAGCCTTATGAAGAATGGTTGAAGGAGCTCCATATGGTTAGCCTAAGAGGAGACTGAGAGGAGATATGATAGCCACCTTCAAATATCTAAAGGGCTGTCACATGGAGGATGGAGCAAGCTTGTTTTCTCCAGCTGTGGAGGGGAGGACCCGAACCAACAGTTTCAAGTTACAAGAAAGGAGATTCTGACTGAACATCAGGAAGAGCTTTCTGACAGTAAGAGCTGTTCAAGAGTGGAACAGACTCCCATGAAAGGTGGTGGGTTCTCCTCCCCTGGAGCTTTTTAAGCAGAGGTTGGATGGTCATCTGCCATTGATGCTTTAGTTGTGATTCCTGCATTACAGGGGGTTGGACCAGATGATTCTTAGGGTCCCTTCCAACCCTACAATTCAATGAAAAGAACATTATGGCCTACCCAGTCACAGAATCATAGAATCACAGAATTGTAGAATTAGAAGGGACCCTATCTAGTCCAACCCCCTGCAATGAAGGAATCCCAGCTAAAGCATCCATGACCGAAGGCCACCAAGCCTTTGCTTAAATACCTCCAAAGAAGGAGAGCCCACCACCTCCCGACGGAGGCTTTTCCACTGTCAAAGAGCTCTTACTGTCAGAAAGTTTTTCTGTATGTTTAGTCGGAATCTCCTTTCTTGTAACTTGAAGCCACTGGTTCGAGTCCTACCCTAGAACAGGATCCTGTTCCAGCATCCTGTTCTCACAGTGGCCAATCAGACACTTTCAGGAAACCCACAAGTAGGACAACAGCATCCCACCCTCATGGGGCATCCAGCAACTGGCATCAGAAGCATTACTGCCTCTGGCAGCAGCAAGGTTCTCAAGGATGCTGTTGGTATATTTCCAAAAAACAAAATTAAAAACTGGGTGTGTGGCTGGCCTGCTTGGGATGTGCCTGCTGGGTGTGTGGCTGGCCTGGGATTCTTTAAATAAACATTTCTTCTGTGTTTCTCCTTCCTTTCCAGGGCTGAGAATATATTGGATGAAGCACCCATTAAGCCAGTTTAGCAACAACAAACATTCATACCAGGCCTAAAATAAATATAGGATTGTTTGGCTCATTCAACTTTTCCTGTGATAGGTCAGCCCATTCATTTCTTCTAGGTATAGCACAGGCTTGTCCAACTTCCAAGAGACTGCGATCTACTCCCTCTATAAAAAAGCTGGTGGTGATCTACCCACTGGATTGACCAAAGTTGTTAGGCTTTTTCTAGAAAATCAAGTTGTTGAGCTTTCGGAGGAAAGTCAAAGTTGCTGAGCTTTTATGGAAAAGTAAAAGTTGTTGAACTTTTTTGGGGAGCTCAAAGTTTTTTGGGAGGGGGTGGAAGCGGTCCCTCGATCTACCACGATCTACCACAGGCTCCCCACGATCTACCAGTAGATCGCGATCTACCTGTTGGCCATCCCTGGTATAGCAGATCCAAATGGCACCTGGCTCAAGCTGCAGGTTTGGTGTCCCCCCCCCCCCTTATTGGGATCATCCTAAACAGCATCACAGCCCATGTTAGAGCTCAAAGTTAGGCACATTCTTCTCATTGGTATCAAACACTGCAAAACATATTCTCCCTCCTTGCCTTTTGGAGCAATTAAATCAGACCCTGGCTTTGCTCTATAGAAAGCCTTGTGTTTCTCTCTTTACAGAGCAAGTCTTTTTCCAGATTGTTTTTTCCCCCTGATTTATTTTTATTTTTAGAAGAGCAAATTATTTCACCAGTAGAGTGGAGAAGAAGATTGCCGAGGTGCAAGAGAGCAAGTTCAATAAGACACAAGTACAGAAGGTAACAAACTGCAAATAAATACAGAAAAACAGTCTTTGCATAGTTCAGAAACGAACATCACAGGGCATCAATGTGCTGTGCGAAGTGGTACACATCAAGCACACAGGTCCACATTTCAGGTTGAAAGGTTGCAGCTGGAAAAAGAAATCCAAAAATCTTAGAAGGGAAAAATTAGAAGCAGATTTTTTTTCTTTTTAGCATGAACATTAACTAGCTATATTTTTTCCCCCAGTCAGGCCATGCTGTAGATTGTGTGAGTGTGTGTTTAAAGGTGAAGAATGTGACCTATATGATCTGTCTTGGCATGCCGTATCCCGTCATCCCAGACTGAGATGCTCCCTTGTTGCTCCCCATTTGGAGACCGATGACATTCTGTCCTTGACGAAGTTGCTCTTCCGAAAACCCTCGCCGGTTCTTTTGTGCTTTCCTGTGAAGAAGAATTTGTAAATGTGACAAGCCTGAAGTTAGTTCTCATTTGCACATCGCTTTGAGCACTTAGGTGGATTGGTGAAGCAGATCTAAAGTGGTACATGTTCTGGGCTTTAATTCCTCGCATTCATTTTCCTTAAAAAGGAACACAGGTACAGTAAGTCTTGTAGCTCTCATCCAGAGGACAGCAAAGGGCAAAGCAAGTGGGGCATGATCAGAGAAAGACTCCTACTAGAGCAGCCTTCCTCCTGCCTGGTGTCCTCCAAATGTTTTCAATTGGACTACAACTCCCATCATCCCTGACTATTGTGCCACTGCTGAGTCCCAACGTATCTGGAAGGCAGCAGACTGGGGAAGGCTGTTCTAGAGTTTAGACAGCTTCTGATCCTTCTTAGAAAGGTTCCCATCCACCCTAAAGATCAGAAAACTAGATCTCCTGGGTTTGCTGCTGTTGGTGCATTAGCTATGCCCACAAAATAGAGGGGGAAAATCTTTTAGCATGGCCAAATCAATATAACGCTTTCCCAATGGCTGAGGTCTTAAGTAATCTGGCCAGCATCCAGCAAAACACTTAAGTGGATGCCCAAATGATCTGCTAGATTAAGGCAAGAATGTTGAAGACTGAGCACCATTGTCCCAGGAGCTGGTGTTACAAAATCCATAAAATGCCAACTCTGCAATGAGTTGTCCAGAAAAGTTGGCTCTCTTACTCTGGTGTATACTTGCTTTTTTATTTTTTAAAAAAGGTTTCATTGCAGGTTCTGGATGATTTAGTCACAGCTGCCGATTAATTTGCACATATCGGATAATAGAGTTATACAACAAAACTTTGAGGAAAGACTCCATTTTTAAAAGCACACAGCATGCAATACATTTATTTGATTATGAATACAAATGTCTTTGGAATTATCCTAGGGGGATGAAACTGCTTATCAGAATTTGAAAAAGGGCCTCGTGTGCCATAATTCTAGCAGCCTTTTCATGACAATCTTTCATAGCACTCTTCCTTCATTCCACCCCCAACATTCAGTTAGTCAGCCTCTGGAGTATCGCCTCCTCCTGCTGGTTTCATATATGAATACAGTGGGAAATAATTTAGAAATTTATTTAGAAGTTTAGAATCATCTGTGGACAATTAGATGACTATATTATGTGATGCAATGGGTCAGTTAGTGTAGGGTTGCCATATGTTCGGAATTTCCCAGATGTAGCCGGGATTCAGCAGACTGTAACAGCGCCCAGGCAGAAATGACTTAAATGTCCAGAAAAATCCAGATGTATTGCAACCCATGTTGGAAATGTAGATTTTGGTGAATTTCCCTAAAAATACCTCAAAAACTTCTCCTTTTTTTGAGATTTTGCTAAAAAATAATCCTGCCCACAGATGCCCCTGGATGGGCTTGAACCACCAACCTTCTGGTTAACCCATTAACTAGGGTTGCCATATTTCAAAAAAAAATTGGCCAAAGTTGTGGAGCCTTTTTTTTTAGCAAAATCTCAAAAAAAAGAGGGTCCAGCAAATTCTGGACATATAGCAGCCCTAGGAAAAATACAATTTAAGGCCATACCTCCCAGTGCATTAGAATTCCTACAACAACAGAAAAATAATTAAGAGGTCCACCAAAACTCTCAGCAATTTTCATGTGACCCATTGGGGTGGGTGGGGGAATGGAGGTTTGGGAACCACCCTGCTCAAAGATTGACAATATGAATTCAGCAAACGGTGAATTTGGTGCTGATTGACACATTTAGTCTACACCCAAAACATGGTCCCAGGGGATCCAGGGAAGAGCTATAGATCCTTACCTGTGAAACCAGGCTGGATCCCCTCTATAGCATCCGTCATCCCTTGTGACAGCTTCGCTGCCCAAAGCCATTAAAGTTCTTTGTACAGCGGCCATGTCCTTCCCTATAAAGGCAGAGGAAGAGAGAGATTCTTTACTGCTACGTTGTTCGGTTGTAGTTTTGACAGTACTGTAGACACCAGTTCAATCCCAGAAATCCCCAAGGCTTTGTTATCCCATTATGTTTTCTGTTTCTCTTCTGATCTCATGGGCACCATCAGGGTTTCCCTCACCCAGAACTGCTGCTTCTTTCACCTTGCAAACTGCATGGTTTGCAGTTGACACTGGGGTGGTTCTGCAATTCCCCCCAATACAGTGCAGTTTGGGGTGTTATTTTCACCCATATATACATTCCCCCCCAACACTTTACACTAGTGTGCACATCTCTGTGAATGCTACCTGACATTGTAAAATTTGGAGAAGTGTGAATTTTGGAGGATGAATTGTTTTTGGAATTAGATAAGTTTGTCTTTAAAGGTGAATTGAATCAAATTTCTCCTTCATCCCTAATTCCTAAAGCTATGAATACTGAAGTCTGGGCCTGCCCATTCTGTGTATAGCTCTGTATACAGCACACTTAACTTAGGACCGCTCATACGCCTTCTCTGCTTATGCCTCACACTTTGCTCCATGTCCAGTGAACTCATTGCCCTTCCACTACCAATCAGATCCCTTCCTTGTGTCAAGACAAGACCCTACACTGATCCCTCAGTCTCCCCATTTTAGCAAGCCAATCTTTCCACATAAAAATGCTTCCCTTTGCAAAGCTTGGTCTTAGTCTGCATCTCCACCATACATCTCAAGCTGTATCATACCTCTTTAAACAACCGTGCCTCTCCCAAAGAATTCTGGATCCTGTCTTTTGTTAAAGGTGCTGAGAGCCCTGTTCCCTTCACAGAGCTAAGATTCCCGAAGAGGTTTAACAGTCAAACCCTCTTCCCAAGGAACTCTGTATAGTGCAGATGGGGCCTTAAATTGACCTAATTGCAGAGAGACTGATGCGTGACCCCACTTAACCTCAAATCTAAAGTGGCACAACAATATTGAAAACCATGGAGCGCAGCGTGTGGAAAGAGAACTCACTGCTGGAGCTACTGCAGAGGAAAGTGACTGTGTTTATTGTGGAAATAGGCTGCCACTGATTTCATACCAATCCTTGTTAGAAACATCATTCAACTCATTAATCTTCCCAGCAGTCCCAAAGTAAATCAGCTTTGCTATCTTCATTTAACAAAGGCAGGGAGATGGTCTGGGGCAACAGAAAGAGGTAGCATTAAAGTAGGAGGCGAGGGCCTTTGATGGCTAGATTCTGCAACCACACAATGCTTCCAAATATCCGTGTCCCATTTTAAGCAGGCTATCCTGGATCACAGAAGCCAATCCTGGCTTCAGTTTGGATCCTGGAATATCTGGTTTTTTGGTCCAGCACTCTGGCACAAGGACGCTCTGGTGCAAGCCTGTTGACGATCGCCAGAGCACCAGATTAGAAGTCATTTTACCAATAATTGGTTAATTACATTATATGATTTATGCTGTACTTGTGAGGCTCTGTTCTGTTATTGTTATTTATCATTTGCAAGCAGTTTGAGGATTTGTTTGAATCTAAAACAGGACGCGGGTGGCGCTGTGGGTTAAACCACAGAGCCTAGGACTTGCTGATCAGAAGGTCGGTGGTTCGAATCCCCACAACAGGGTGAGCTCCCGTTGCTTGGTCCCTGCTCCTGCCAACCTAGCAATTCGAAAGCACGTCAAAGTGCAAGGAGATAAATAGGTACCGCTCTGGCAGGAAGGTAAACGGTGTTTCCGTGTGCTGCTCTGGTTTGCCAGAAGCGGCTTAGTCATGCTGGCCACATGACCTGGAAGCCGTACACCGGCTCCCTTGGCCAATAAAGCGAGATGAGCGCCGCAACCCCAGAGTCGGCCATGACTGGACCTAATGGTCAGGGGTCCCTTTACCTTTACCTTTAAAACAGCATAGGAATACAGTCAATTGATCAATTAGGCTGGTGTGAGAGCCAGGAGTCTGAGCTTTAAACTGGGAAGGTGTCTTAGTTCAAATCTCACCCCAACCGTAAATTCCTACATGATTTCTTAATCTCAGCCCCAAACTGAATTCCCACTCAGCCATGAAGCTCGCTGGTGAGCTTGGGCTGGTCGCCGTCTCTCAGCCAAACCTTCCTCACAGGGTTGTTGTGGAGATGAAATGGGGAGGAGGAGACCCATGTGGACCACCTTGAGCTCCTTGGAAGAAAGCGTGGTGTATAAATGTAATAAACATAAAACACAAACACAAAACACGTACCAGAAATATGGAGGGGAGAGCATCATAGGAACAAGCTCCTCATTCCATCCAACACATCTTCTATTGCTGAATGAACAGGAGCACAGGTGCTTTAATGAACACACAGAGTGGAGCCTGCACCCACAATGTTCCACAAACATACACATATTTTAAACTCCTGCAAATGGCCCAAGCAGAAGCCTTTTCCAGCCCTGCATTCTGTTATAGCACACTGCAAATCATGGTTTGAAAATGGCTGTCCCAAGTAGTTGATCTCAGTACAGTTCAGGAACTCAGAACAACTGATCAACGAATGATGAATAAATACATCCAGGATCTTCAAGTTCTGTTCTAAGCTTTTCTTACAGGGCTGGGGGATCTGTGACTCTCCAGACATGGCTGGACTGCAGCTATCATCATCTGCTGATGCTTGGCCATGCTGACTGGGGCTTATGGGAGTTGGCGCCCACCACTATATGGAGGGTTACAGGTTCCCTACCCCTGTTCTATAATTAGGTAAAGGTAAAGGGACCCCTGACCGTTAGGTCCAGTCGCGGACAACTCTGGGGTTGTGGCGCTCATCTCGCTCTATAGGCCGAAGGAGCCGGCGTACAGCTTCCAGGTCATGTGGCCAGCATGACTAAGCCACTTCTGGCGAACCAGAGCAGCGCACGGAAACACCGTTTATCTTCCCACCAGAGCAGTGCCTATTTATTTATTTACTTGCACTTTGACGTGCTTTCAAACTGCTAGGTGGGCAGGAGCTGGGACCGAGCAACGGGAGCTCACCCCGTTGCAAGGATTCGAACCGCCGACCTTCTGATCAGCAAGCCCAAGGCTCAGTGGTTTAGACCACAGTGCCACCCGTGTCCCTTATAATAATTATAATCAGGGATAGGCAAATCCATCAATTTTAGCTCTCCCATTTACCCATTTTCTGAATGTTAAATTCAGCTCACTACATTCTGTGTCCATTTGCTCAGCCAGGCTCAGCTGACATTAAATTTCCAACCTTGGCTCAGTCAAAGATATGCTGGCGTAACTTGCCCGTCCCAAATGAGGTGAAGCTCACTGATCTGAGGCCAGTGTAAGTCCCCAGAAAGGGACACTCCAAGGTCATGGTAGAGGAAGCACCAGAGAGAGCAGACCAAGGCTGGATCCTAAGCCTGTTCCACTCAGTCATGTAATCAGGCAACCTGGCACAGAGCACAGTTTTAATGGCTCCCTTCTGCCAGGGTTTGGCAGAGTAGCAGCAGCAGCAGCTCCATTGCTGAATGCAGTTTGGCTATGGTGCTTCTTTATGTGAGCTTATTTTACACCTGCATGTTTTTCACCAGCTTCCTGTAGGATTACTCCCTATCTTGCCCCATGGAGGCAAAAGGGAAATGAGAGGGTGGGCCATATGTCTTACTTTACAGAACACAATCCTCTTTGAGGAGGTCCAAGTTTGGTCCAAGTTCAGCTTACAGATAAAGATCCTACACAAAGGGAGGAGAGCAGCGTTTCTCATCAATATTTAGCACCTGGACCAAGCAGGCAAACGGGCCACCTATTTATCCTATTTTAGTATTGTATTTCTGTGTAAATTATAGTCATTATTTGCAAATACATATAAATTAGCACATGCAATTTGCCTTTTTTTGGGGGGGGGGGGGCAATGTGTAAATAAGCCCAAGAATGGACTTCAGCCACAGGAAGAAGAGCTTGCTTCAGCCTTCTCCCCTGAGAGCTAGTAGTCACATTCTTCAGGGCTTTCAGCTGACACTGTCTCAAGCCTTCCTGACCATTATCATCATTACATATCTATAAAAGGACCATGGATGCAAAAGTCACAGTAAATGGGTTAGACGAGCCTGCAAGCTCATAATCTAATTTAAAACACAGAATGAACAGAAAGGAGGGGAAGTGGATGGTTTGTTGATTGCTACGTAGGACTAAGAAATAGAAAATAATCAAAACCAAAGAAAACGGAAGAATGAGTTGGTTGTGAAAACTGATTTGTGTTTTTGTCTTGAATCATGTACACAGATTAGACAGCTGCTGCATGCATGCTTTTTCTTACACAGGGATTAGCTCCATGTGAGAAAAATGTCATGCGTGAAAAGATTTTAACATGGCTACTTTTCTGGAAGGTGTACATACATAGACACCCAGTAGAGGTTCTGGGAAACAACTTGTTGTGTAAAGTGGATTCAAATCATCACATGGGTTGACGCTAACTCTAGTCCTCCAAAGAGAGAGAGAGTTTTAGGAAGGGAAAACAAATCAAAGATGAAGGGAAATTGTTGAATCAGATTGTGAAAATGAAAGATGTTGCAATCTTGAGCTCAGAAAACAAGCAAAACACTAGTGGCCAAAACACTGCACCCCCTCCTTGCGCCCCACTGACTGGGGTTGAAATGAACAGAGATATCCCTCTGCCCAGCTAAGCCAGCCTCCTATCACCTGCTGGATGTGTCAGCTGGTGGGTAGGCCGCTGGCAAAATTCCTGCTGGTGGGAGCCAGTGGAAAGCCTTAAAAGAAGGCATTCCGTGGGTGACTGACAGAGACTGAGCCAGTGTGGACCCTGGATGGATTGGACCCTGAGCTGATTCCATTGCTGTCCTGCAATGGCTTAGGACCTGATCGCTGCACCAACTCCCAGACTGATTCAGTGATCTGCCTGCTCCCCACCCACTGTGCATTGCAGGACTACAACTACAGATGTGGTGGTGGTTTCACTGCTCCATACAACCCCACCGGCAAAGGGAAGGGAGGTTTGGATTGCAGCCTAAATCGCAAATGACTCTGAATCCTATCTCCTAACCCAAAATTCTGACCAAAACTTAAAGTGTTAGCAAAATTTAGTTCAAGAATTCTCTATATGCTGTACATGACTACGTACAACTCTCTTCCTTTGAGTTTCTGAGTTATAATATGATCATACAGTTGGGCAAACATCTTCAAAATGCACACATGTTGTTCATGGTAGGAACACATGATGCTGTCTTCTATTGAGTCAGATCCATTGACCCATCTTGCTTAATATTGGCTGCACTGACTGGCAACAGCTCTCCAGGGTTTCAAACAAGAAGTCTTTCCCAGCTCATATCTGAAGATGCTGAGGACTGAACTCAGAACTTTCTACCTGCAAAGCAGTTGATCTACAACAGAGCTATGGGCCTTGCAGAAAGTGATGGACAACATGCTTAACAGTTTGGGCTTGATATTGGCAAGAAGAGGATTAGTGGTTGATCTATAAGTTGTTAAAAGAAGTCCTGTACTTTGCTAGTGGATATTTCCCGTGTGAGTATGAACATTCAAGGTTACTAGATGTCCCCTGGCATTTAGGAGCATGCTTTAACTCCAGAGCATAACAGCAGCATAGAAATGAGACCGTGTTCCTTATTTCAGAAACCTTATTGTGGACCATGCTGCCTGGGGCTGATGGGAATTGGAATTCAACAATGGAGGGCCATAGTCTCCCTATCTTTGGCCTAAATGCTAGCTGTGAATTGCCCCATCTTCCAGCGATGGAGTAAGACCATGTAGATTTGGGGTTCCGGTCCAGGTCCAGTTCCAGTTCCAGGCCCGGCCCAATCCAACAGTTTGCCCTGACTAGGTTACTTTAGATAACCGCCTCACTCAAGCATGAAAATGGACACTGTTGTGGGAATACTGTTCATAGTGAAAATTGGATATTACCACAGTTTCTGCTGAACCTTCTATAGAAACTACCCTTTCTCTTAGATTTGATAGGTTTCCATCAAAGTGATCTATTTTTCAGTTATGGATTAGTACAAAAGATGTCATAAACTCCTGGAAAAAAATATAAAATCTCTCAGAGAAGATAACAAGCTGGGAAAAACATGGTTGTGACACAACAGAAACAGAAGAGAAAGATAATGACATCAGGGAATTTCCACCCTAGAGACGCGCATGATTAGCATCAGTCTAAGTAGTGTAATATAAAGAAGGCAATTGTCCCTTCAATAAAAGCTCATATAAATGGATATTGGTACCTTCCCATAAATCCACTGTCTGGAAAATATCTGTTGTTCGTATTCCATAGATTTCTGCCGCTTTCAAGAATTGGGAAATTTGCTCCATTTGCTTGAAAGCCATCTTTGATTCTGTGATCTTTGGAATGGGTTCTTTCCCCTTGGGATGTAGACTGTTTATTAACTTGCACAGCAGCTGGGAGATTAAAGATAGAAGCAGAAATGAAGAGGGGGGAAAATCAATTAGTTCCAGCTGACTAAAGACAACATGTACACGCTATTGAGTTTATGGTGTGGGTGCTCTGGTGCCACTCACGGAAGGAAATCTTCTCAAAAATCAAATCAAATAACAACTTAGAATAATTCTGAATGTGTTAGAAGCAAATAAGTTTTTTTAAAAAAAATGCAAGCCAAAGCTTCCATTTCTGCAGCTGGACCAAACATGCATGGATGTACTCAGGCGGACAAAATCAAATCATTCGCTAAAGGTTACATAACAATTGACAGTTGTGTGGGAGAGCAAAACGGTAGCTGGAGTCCAACTGTAAGTGCTTCCATTTGGTATACTGTTAAAAACACAATGACAGAGGCTCAATAATTTGCCATGTCTTATATCTCCAGGGCAAAGGACAGCATCTTTGTGCTTATTTGGTTTTTTAAAAAAAATAAATCCAACATGTCATTTAAAGTCTTCAGGATGTTTACAAAAACAGATCAGGAATGTAGCATAGCACATTTTACTTTTTCTTTTCTTTTTAAAAACCAACACTGACTGGTTTCTAAAGAAGATAAACCTGGTATTAAAAGCTCAGCTAAAAAAAAAGAAAAGCAAAGCAAATCTGTTCTTCTAATTGTCAGAGAAATAGTTACCGAATTATATAATCTGCCCATCTGTCTCTATGCACATATACTGGCTATTGTTTCTAAAACCTCCTGATCATAATAAGCAATTGTTTTAAATATTTTAATTGTCCTAAAAGAGAAAAACAGTTTAGAAATGAAATTGATACTCTTGGTAAAATGTAAAGTTAAATTCCAATCCCAAAATATTACTTTGTTACCTAATGATTTCTACAGGGTTTATATGGAAGTAGGGTTGTTGTCGGGGGTGGGGGGTGGGGAAACACTGTCCAAGGTAATTGATTAGCTTTCTCCAAAGGAGCTGCGGAGGGCAAAAGTTAAGGAGCAAATCTTAAAGCACACGTTGTTATTATTATTGATGCAACATCAAGACTATTACTTACTGTTCCATCCATTAACCATTTCTGGAAATGTTGCCTTCCGGGAGGGGGATGCTCTGTGTTTTCACCACACTGTATGATAATCCAGTCCACCAGCCGACTCTCCAGTTCTGTGTCATATTTCTGTTCGATCTTTTCCTGGACTTCTCGGCTTAAACCATAGCTGGGTCCTCTGTTGGCCATCTCTAGGAAGAAGAAAAACCACTTTATTTAATTTGCAAGAGGTGCAAAGTGCTGAGCATCTATTACCCAGCATCTATTCTGAACATCCTGGAAAGGGATTACTACACAATCCCAAATGCATTACAAAAAAATCAAAATCAAAAGCCTCATAAATTGCGATGCCAGTAAAGGGTTTGTGTGTGCTTGCATGAAATCATCAAAGCTGACATTTCGGCTGCAAGTGAAATTTCTGTTGTTGCTAGGAAGAGATGTAAGCATTTCATATTAACATTGCAATTGCCAGCAAATCCAAAGGAATTAAAAGCAAAAAGAAGGCCAAAAGAAAAAAAGGTCTATTACAGGACAACTTGGAATAGCCTTTCAGTGACGCAGGTGATCTGGTGATTTTCAGCAGTGATCTGGGTCCAGAAATGCGGAGACCATCGAAGCAAGAAATGTTGGTAAAATTTATGAAGAGTCGAAGGCTGCTGCGATGCTCTGCTGCTCCTGGAACTGCTGCTGTGGGAGCATCGTGATCTGAAGAAGGCTGTATTGATTTGATTTTCCTCACAGATGAGGAGGGTCAAAGCAGGGGCGTTGCTAAGAGCTATTAAAGAGGCCCTCCTACTCTGTCATGGCCAGAAAAGGATCCCTATTCATCTCAGTCCTCTGCAGCCTGCTCCTCTGCACATACTTCTGCTGCTGTCACTCCTTGTATTCTAGGCTTTGGTACTCACTTCTACGTTCTTATGCTGCAGCCGTTGTCATGGTGCCCAAGAAGACTGCTATTAAAAATACTCTCCCGATTACATCCGTTCGGTGTTGGCTTCTTTAAACCCAAGACAAACCTGCAGAAAATGCGTGGAACAGAGCCCGTAAAACAACAGCAAAGATATATTGTCAATAAACAGCAAAAATCACCAGTGTAAATTCAAAGAAGGTGACTATTTTCATCTGCTTGAATGGAAATAAGAAAGCTAAGCAGCTAAATGCCATCTCAGAGAAGGACACAGTTCCCCATCCTCCACCCCAAATCCCTGCAATGCAGTGTCGGACAGAATATTCCACATTCTTAAAAGTCTAGAACTTTTCCAGTTCTGACTAAGCAAGCTTTGTCATATGCAGAGCTGTGGGTAGCAAGCAAAGGTGCATGGTGAGCCGTGACAACAGCTGTTCAAGACCAGCCCAAGATGCTTTGCTGCCTGAGCTGAGACAGCAAATGGCGCTCCAACCCTGAAGGCAAGATGCACGGCACTGAAGGCCAGGACATCAAATGAACAAGTTGTTTTGGCAGCTGAGGAAGAAAAGCCCACCAGCATCTGTGCCTGCAAATGTAATGGTATGATAATAGTAAATTAAATAGCTAGCAATTTCTTTGCCTTTCATGATACCTAACCTGAGGTGAACACCTCAGTTCTGCTTATCTATAGTAAAGGTAAAGGGACCCCTGACCATTAGGTCCAGTCGTGACCGACTCTGGGGTTGCAGCGCTCATCTCGCTTTATTGGCCGAGGGAGCCAGCGTACAGCCTCCGGGTCATGTGGCCAGCATGACTAAGCCACTTCTGGCGAACCAGAGCAGCGCACGGAAATGTCGTTTACCTTCCCACAGGAGTGGTACCTATTTATCTACTTGCACTTTGGTGTGCTTTCGATCTGCTAGGTTCACAGGAGCAGAGACCGAGCAACGGGAGCTCACCCCATCGCAGGGATTCGAACCGCCAACCTTCTGATCAGCAAGTCCTAGGCTCTGTGGTTTAACCCACAGCACCACCCGCGTCCCGCTTATCTATAGTACCAGCTCATTATTCAATGGCCTTTGACACCACCATGGGTTGTGCCTGCTGAACTTAGACCAGAGGATCTCATTCTATTGCTTGCATTGCAGGCATTACACCAAAATGTTGGCTTGTACTGGTTCATATGAAAGCTTGGGGAATGATGCTTTGAAGGCTCCCATGTGTGTTTTGAAAGCTCCTGCCGTGCAAAATTAGCAAAGGGAGAACTCTTCCCCACAACATCCATTTTGTAGGTATGTGTGTTTTCCTCCCTTGCATATGGGGAAAGCATTCAGGTATCCAGTCCTGAAACGAAGGACAAGGCAGCACCTCCTTTTCAATTACAGAAGCCCACCAACTTAGCAATTGAAACTCTGTCCTTCAACAGAAGGAAAAGGTCAGCATCTTCAGGAGAAATGGTTGGGGGTTTCCACTTCTACACAAACACAGTATCTGCCATTGAGATGACTCAGCTGTCTCACTCTGCCTAATGCTAGGGCTGGCCCTGAGTCCAGCAAAAGGTTCGTCACACGAGTATGCTGATCATGTTTCCTTCTCCCTCCTTTCTACGCCACTCAAGAGAACTGCCGTCATGTACTTCATATATAGTCATTCTATGTTTCATCTTTTCAGATTTGCAGCGAAGCCTGTTCCATACATTCCCGACAGTTCAGATGCTAAAGACGTGAGCTCTCTGGTTTATATAATTCTCAGACTCTCCTGGCTTGACTTGAATACATGAAAAATTCAGTGGGTGACCTCATTTCCCTGCAAGATTTTCATATTGTGTACTGGTATGTATTTATTTTTAAATAAGTCGCCTGAAAAAATTTCTTATGTAACTCAGCTCTCTTAGAGCTCATCCTACTGCACACACAACATGCTGTTCATGATAAAGAAATGAGGCATCTGTGGAAAATGTTTTTTTTTAAGTACTGCCTCAATCGTGTACAAACAGCTAGGTTGCATATACTGATAAAATTGAATTTTTTTTGTTCTGGAAAAGAAAGCTGTGAAGAGGGTCTATTATTCTAGTATCCCTGTAATACAAAAGGGATTTTAATGCACTGCATTTCCTTTGAATTAATTCATACAACTCTATAACATGGCAGTGGAAGGTTATTTGTCACTTCAGATCCACTTCCAACAGGATGAGTCATACTGTAAGGATTGTAGTCAACAAATGAATAGCCATCACCTTATATTTTATGTTGTGAACTGCCCTGTGATCTTTGGGTGAAGGGTGGTATACAAATTTAATAGATAAATAAAAATACTTACTGTAAGCATTTGGAAGGGCCACGCCTCAGTGGTAGATTTCCTTGCATGCAGTAAGTCCCGAGTTCAATCCTTGCCATGCCCAGGTAGGGCCTAAAACACTAGAAAGCCACTTGCTCTCCATGTAGACAATACTGAGCTAGATGGAGCAGTGGTCAGACTCCGTGTAAGACAGTTTCCTATGTTCAAGGAAAGAGCACTCTCTCTCGGTGGGGAGGACCATTGGCCCCCAAAAGTTCTGAATTATTAACTTCAGGCAGCTGCTCAAAGCAGGGCCAACAGCCAGGGATGATGAGATTTGTAGTTCTTTAACCAGTGCTGATGCTAAGTGGAGCGTGGAGCCTCTGCAAATCAATGTTCCAAGCTGAAATGCTACTTTCTTTTCCTCCCAAGGCCAGACATACTGAAGGTGTACTTTAAAAAAGAAGGAAACAGAACATGACTTTTTATATATGTGGCTGTCTATTGGTGACGGGCAGAAAAGAAGAATTCTGAATTCTGGCACACTTGAATAAAAATTAAACGATTCTGCCAATGCACTCAAAAAATGGTACTCTAATGTAGATAAGCGCGGTATGTTTTACAGTTAGCATGTGCTTATTTCATAGTCACTCTTTCCTCATGCAGTGCACAATCAAAATCAGCCATTGAAAACTGTTCCCATGGGTACACAATGGGCACTATTTTCTGCTTAGTAGACAGATGGAGACAGCGCAAACAACAGATGCAATATAGTCCAATATAGTTTTATTGAAAAATTGGGCTTCAGACAAGCCGTTCATGTCAAGAGTTTTTCAGTAAGACCAGAAGGATTGTTCAGACATCTTAGTGCCCACAGTCAAATATGCATCTTTGAAACCCATTGATGATATCACATCACACGCGCTTTCAAGAACTGTGTCTTCTTTAATACAAAGGCAGGATGGAATAGTGAATGTCACCAGGTCACAGGAAATTATGTAGGCAGAATTAGCATAGAAATTACAGGGCAGGAAGCAGGTCAAGATCTGAGACCGCCCCCCCCCCCCCCGGAGGTGCTATGAATAGCAGTTGTACAATTCCTAAGGTTAGGGTGAGTTAAAACAAAAAAAACACCAGGCTTTTGAAATGATAAATATTTTACTTCTATTTTTTTTTGGGGGGGAACATGTTAAAATGTAGGAGAAAATATGGTGGGAAATGGCACTGATAAATACACCTGGCCAATATACACAGAATTAAATTGGCACACTTGAACCCTGAATGCATTGCTGCATAGACAAGAAAACAAGACAGTTGCAAGCTGATGCCTGAAAAACAAAGAACGCCACCTATTTCCCCATATTGATTCTGGTACCATGAGTCAGCAACCAACCTTGTCCCCAGTCTTCCAAAGGACATGGTAAGAGGTCATGTGGTCCAGCTAGTGATTCCTCCTGCTTCCCTTGGAAACTGAGCAGGCATTACAGTGATCTAGTATCTTAAAGAGAAAAAGCCAGTGGGGACTTGGATGTGTAAATCAAGGGAAATGACAAATGTTACTGCTTCACACTCTGCTAAAATCAACACAGTAAATTCAAAATATGGGTTTTGCTCCAAAGAGCCCTATTAAATACACCCTGTGGCCTAGGCATGGTTTTAAGGCTTTTTGACTGCCATTGTTTCTTTGAACAGCAGGCAGACCCATGCACAATCATGAACTGCTTTTGCTAGTCTCCTCAGTTTCAGAAAGGGGTTGCCATATGGTACAGCAGACAGCTGTTGAAGAACAAAGACGGGGCCCAGATGCCCCTCACGTGTGCAGAACTCTGTCACCAGACAAAGCTATGAATATCTGCATGACTGATTTCTTCAGGCACCTAGATTTATTTCTTAGATTTATTAGTTCCATGGTCTACAAGCAATTTACATATAAAAGCATAAGTGTATGTACATTATACCAATGAAATTCATATAAAATACTAACATTCTAAAACACCACACACAC